GGTCAACAGCCATAAAATTCTTCTCTCTTTCTTAGGTGAAGAAACACATGATTCAACATGAAAACCAGGTACAAGACTGATTCCCGCTTTGTTTGCACAGAGCCCCCCTTTCTGCCAGCCCCGGGAAAGTGGGAAGCCTTTAATCTGCCCCCTTTGTTATGGGCAACCCGCTGTAGAACACGCTCCTCCTGCGGCCTCTCGCTGCCCAGCCATAAAATTCTTCTCTCTTTCTTAGGTGAAGAAACACATGATTCAACATGAAAACCAGGTACAAGACTGATTCCCGCTTTGTTTGCACAGAGCCCCCCTTTCTGCCAGCCCCGGGAAAGTGGGAAGCCTTTAATCTGCCCCCTTTGTTATGGGCAACCCGCTGTAGAACACGCTCCTCCTGCGGCCTCTCGCTGCCAGGAGATCCCGCAGAGGCACCAGTGGGGTCCCCGACGCGTAGGGCTTCTAATTGCCTTCTCTGGCCAGGCTCGGGGTTCCGTGCACAGCCCAGCCACGCCCCTGGCAGGCCACCGCCTCGCAGCGACAGGCTGTCCAGTCACCGTGCAGCCGAGTCATTGGCTCCCTCTTGTAGAGCAATGGCCTAGAGGCACGAGCATGAGGCTTGGCTGGAACATCCATGCCTGGCATCTTCCGGCTCGCAGCCGGGAAGTCCTGCTCACTGCCTAGGCGGGGAGCTTGCTTTGCACTCACGGGGCTTCTCTCTCCTAGCTGAGCCCGTACCTCGGCTTCCAGCTGCGCGGGGAGGTTCTTGCCACACTCGTGCGAGGCAGGCTGGTTTATCTGAGAGGGAAGCTCGCACCCAAGCCAGAAGGGAACCTGCTTGTAACTCAGAGGAAGCTGCTCGAGAGAGTCTCCTCGCCCTACTACTGACGGGGGATGCAGGAGAGAAGGAGGCCAGGGGACCAGCCAAACACCTGACTTGGAAAGGGAAGAGAGTTGCATGGGGCGGGGGAGGGGAGTCACCGAGGGCATGCCCCCCTTTCTGGCCCACGCCCATCCGCTCGCACTGGCAGGTCTCCGAGAGGGAGAGAGAAGTGAGACCAGGGAGCAGAAAATTCCTCTCCTCTCGCTGCCTTGTGCTGAGCCCCACACCCAATTTACAGCCCTAAGCAGGCGTCTGGCTGGGAGTTTGACATACGCCTCCGGAGCCTGGGCACCCAGCTCAGCTGGATTTGGGCGCCTGATTCCCCAGGCTCCTGTGCAGGTCCCAGCGTTGCTGTCGCAATGGCCGATGGGAACAGACTGTGCTCTGCCTACGTCAGTGACCAGCTCTCCCCTGGAGCTGTGCAGGGCTCAGAAGTGTGTTTCTGGCGCGCTGGGTGGCACTGGATGTGGCTAC